GAACTTAACCTCGAACCCAGCCTCTCCTACACCCGGCTCCCCAGTCAGCGATGCTCATTCTTCCGCATGACCTTCCGGTCCCTGGTGCTCACAGGGACCCTGTCCAGCAGTCGCCGAATGTCCCTCACAGGACTGAGTTCTCTCCTGTCATCTCAGACACACACACAGTCTTTGAGTCCAGGCTGAAGGAGCAGCTGTTGCCTCCTTTGCTTCCACAGCCTCCAGACTGACTCCATCACCCCCGCTCCCGTACTCAGTCTCCTCCAGTTAACGCAGGTTAACTGAAGACCTCATATTGGATGTGCGTGGGGGGAGGCTCTGATTATCCTGGGTTTATGCACCAAGGCCTCTTCCTGCTTGCTGAATCCTGGATTTTCTCTTCACCTGTATTAAAGGCTGGGCCTGCAGGGCGTATCCTGTCCCCCCCCATCAGATGCAGTCCTTCCGGGCAGGTGCCCTGCGGTTTGCTGACTAAGGGAGTGAGGATGTGGCCCTGGTTTGCAGACTCTGTGCGGCACCGCCGGAGGGGGCAGCTGCAGAACCCCCGTCTCCTCTGGGCCTGGGGGACCTTACAGGGCGCGGGTGAAGGGGCGCCTCCCTCCGCAGCGGACAGCACTGCCTCGATGCACACACCGTACTTTAGGGAGGAGAAATGGCCAGATGGGGGCTGTGTGCCGACCCCAGCCGACCCCAGCGTGCAGTCCCAGCACGTGGGAGGCGGCCGACGTCCTGAGTCTTCCTTGGCTACAGAGTGACCTGGGGTCAGTCTGGGTTCCATGAGCACCCGTGTCAGCAGAAGAAAAAAGAGGCCGCTCCCATTTAGTTCCCGTACTTCATACTTTACAACCCACGTGACTTGACGAAACTCGTGGCTCGAGGAGCTTCCTTGACCTTGAGTTTACTAGGTCAGTTCTGGGTCTGAGGTGGCCACCTGGCAAAGGGAAGAGGTGGCGGCTAGCTCAGCCGCCCTGGGTCAGCATCCACCGCCATTAGCGTGCTCAGACTCTATTCTAAGCCCTTACTCGCGCGCGCGCACACCAGGACGAATTTAACCCTTGAACAACACTACCGGGTGACTATTCTTACTGCTTTAAAGACTGAGGAAGCAGATGCCGTTTGCACTCAGCTAAGCGAGGGAGCCGAAAGCGCCGCCCGTCTTGCTGGGGTCCGTCTTTTTCCTTAGCTATGCCATATATCACCTCCACGCACAACACACAACTGTGGCCAAGAACACGAGGAGGAAGAGGAATGTGCCCTCTCACAACTGCTCGCCCAGGCTGAGAGTCTCATCCCGCCAAAGCACACGGCATCACTTGGTGCAGCCCAGACCCCGAGGCCCACATTTCTCCTTCATCTCGGAGAGGGCGAGCCTCACCGGCCCTCTCCGGAGGCCAGCCCTCTCCCTGGTGGCTGAGCACCCGCTGCCTGGCCACTCTGGTGGCCTTCCCAGACACGGCGCCTGGCTGGTGAGAGCAGTGAGGCCCTAAGGTGAACGCTTCAGCGGCCTCAGACCTTCACGGTCTCCTGTTCTAGGACATGTCAGCAGAGAAGCCCCCGGGGCTGAAACCCTAATGCAGAGAACCGCAGCCATGCTGGCGGGGCAGCCATGCTGGCGGGGCAGCCATGCTGGCGGGGC